TTAGCAGGTCAACATGACCCTGACGTTGGGAAACGGACGACTAACAGGCGTTATGATAGGATGTAGATGGGGAAGTATGCATTCTCAGCTTAAGAGAGAGCGTTCTTTCACAGTTAAAGCAGATATACACTGTATGTTTGATAGGCCATAAGTCAGGGTTTTTTAGTTCAAGACGAATCAGTTTGGAACCAGAATTTACCCCATATACTTCAATATGTGAAAACGTCCTGTCAAAGCTTCTAAGTTCTTTCTCTCCTCTTTGAAATGTATGTCTTTTTATTTTATATTAAATTTAGATATAATTGACATATAACATTATATTAGTTTCAGGTGTACAACACAACTACTTGATATTTGTATATATTGCAAAATGATTACCACAATGTCTAATTAATACTCATGACCATAGATGGTTACAAAACTTTATTTTCTTATGATGAAACTTTTAAAATCTACACTTTTAGCAACTTTCAAATATACAAGACAGTATTATTAACTATCATCCTCATGCTGTACGTTACATCCCCATGCCTGGCTTATTTTATAATTGGAAGTTTGCATTTTTTAACCCCCTTCGTCCATATTGCCCTCCCCCTGCCTCCTGCCTCTGCAATCACCAATCTGCTCTCTGTATCCATAAGCTCAGGTTTTTTTGGTTGGTTGGTTTTGGGGGGTTTCTTGTTTGTTTGTTTAGATTCCACATATAAGTGAGATCATACCATATATGTCTTTTTAAAGCCTCTTGCCAGCTTCAACACCTAGGAATGTCTCTCTAAAGTGATACCAGCCCTGATTTAGTTCCCCCTACATTAAACCCAGCATATATGGAGTTAAAACCAAAAGCACCCATCCCCTTTCCCTGCTTCTTTAGTTACATTCATATGTAACCATCAGTTTCTTTAATCTTTGTGTCCCTGAGCTTCACATACGCATGAAGCTGATGTTAAGATTAGAACACTGACCTCTACCTTGAAGGACACAAATAGAAGTTACAAATCATTAAAACCCCAGTGGCCTCATGCTGAAGTCTTGGCTAATTACAGGTCCATGAAGTTTGTTGAAGGAAAACTCATGTCCAAAAATATCAAGAAACTGAAGTTTCCCAGACCCCGACTCCTTGTCTCCCTGGCACTGGAATCCACCACCCATCATGGAAGCAGACAACCAAGGACACTTACCTGCAAATTCCCTTATCTCGCTGCAGTCTCCCTGCACGTAGTCACATTCCTCAGCCCACTGACATAGTGGTTAATTTCACATGCTCCGCTTCTAAGCCCCAGGGTTCACAGGTTTGAATCCCAGGCAAGGACCATACACCACTCATCAAGTTGGGCTATGGTGGCATCCCACATACAAAATAGAGGAAGATTGGCACAGATGTTAGCTCAGGGACAATCTCCTCAAGCAAAAAGGAGAAGATGGGCAGTAGAGTTTAGCTCAGGGCCAATCTTCCTCACCAAAAATATAAATAAACAAACAAATAAATAAATAAAACCCCTTGCCTCCTGTCTTTCAGGGAGATGAAGCTGAGTGCTTATTCTCATCTCCTGGCTGACGTCACCAGAAATAAAACCGCCTTCCTTGCCACAAGCCTGGCTTTCCAGTTTTTTTCGGCCCACTTCTTGTGCAGTGGGTAAATGAACCTGAGTTTGTGTTCAGTAAAACAAGGACCTAGGAACGATCTCTTTGAAATGTAATAATAAAGGAAGATAGCACCCTATCTCTCAGTTTGTGGGGAAGGGTAGTGGCCTAACTTTGGTGGGAGCATCACTTCAAGTTACAAAACTTCCTCCTGTCATCAAGATATAAGCAGTTTAATTTTCTTTTCGGTAAAGCCAATCAGCAAACACAGATGGTCACCCTGATTACCAAGTGAACTGAGGATAAACTAGGTGTGACGTGTTGCTAAGTTCTCTTACTTAATAGCTAGTTATTGTTCTTCTTGAAAACATCTACACAATGGACTGTTTCTGCTTGGCTATACAAAAGGGTGAGATTTCTCATTGTCTTTGCAATCTCTTTAGCAGATTGCCAGTGATGCTCCTCACATTGTGGTTTAATGCTATTCACTAACAAAATTGTTTTCTTTCTCCTCTACCTTTGTGGTGAGGTTTTCTGGGTCAGGATGAGATTTTGTTTCTAATTATATTTCTCCAACACAACTCCCTTTGCTCTGATTTCATGCTCATTCCAAATTCCTGACTATAAATGGTTTTTGCTAAAAAGTCCACATTCAATTCATTAAATAGGTGCAAGAATTTTGATTTGCATAATTATTCTTCTTGCTGTACAATAATAAGCATTTGATTATACACATCAGTCTCTACGAATTTGATTATTGTTAGTACACTCTCAAAGAAGAGTTCATTCTTAATATGCTATCAAGCTTTTAAGCTTGTAAATCTGACAACCAGCCTCCAACTCGTGATGAATTGCCAGGATTAATACTATGCTATGAGGACTCTTTTTTTTTTTTTTTTTTTTTTTTTTGGTGAGGAAGATTTGCCCTGAGCTCACATCTGTTGCCAATCTGCCTCTTTTTGCTTGAGGAAGATTGCCACTGAGCTAATATCTGTGCCGATTTTTCTCTATTTTATGTGGGATGATGCCAAAACATGGCTTGGCAAGCAGTGTGTAGGTCCGTGCCCAGGATTTGAACTGGCAAACTGTGGGCCACTGAAGCAGAATGCACAAACTTAACCATTATGCCACTAGCTAGCCCCTGTGAGAATTCTTAACAAACAGCCAACAGGCCTTCTCTAGTGAATTCCTTCAGACATGCACCTTTTCATGCAAAATTTCTTCAGAAACAAGATATTAGGCTGGAAAAAATTGTCTCTCTATCAAGAATTGCTAAATGTTAAAACAAATGTTGTCTGTTCAGGTCTTGCTCTTGGCTTTGGACTAAAAAGAGAAAAGTATTGGGGAGCTTTCAAATTTCTTTCTGGGATATCCAGCTCAATTCATCAAGGTAGAAAGAAACAGATATTCCTCTAAGGAATAAAGAAAACAAAAAACCAAACTTTATGCTTTGGTGTTTCTATCCTAACATCTCTCAGACACAGGGCTTGGTGGACACCAGATAGAGGACCATTTGGAGAACCTGATACTCTACAATTTATAGAGGATATATTACATGTATCTCTGGAAATTTCAGTTCTTGAAAATTATTGTTGGATATCCATACTCTTTGGTAACATTGAAATAGAAAGAAAAATCAGTTTTCTGGAGAATTTCAAGATACCATTGATTATCTGGAGCTGACCTTTCAACTCGTAACATACTTTGGTCCCTATTCCTTCACTTAAGTTCTAATAAAAAGCTCTTGTTTCTATTTACTCTTCCTATGCTCATTTTGTCATCCAGCCTCTTAATATGCTGGCGTCTTTTATCCAGAACTGCTCCTCTTTAGTATATCAATTTTATTCTATACTATCTATAATCTAAGACCATGGATATACTTCACCTAGGTACACCCAGGCTGAACATCTATAAATTGCTTGAGATATAAAATCACTGAGATTTATGTTTATTCAAAGTTTGGGGTACTTGATTTTGATTCTAGATTATCTTACTGTCCAGCTTTTCAATTATTGTTTGTTTACCAAGAAACTTTTTAGTTTGTGAATTCATGGTTTTGAAATTAGCTTGAATTTCGGTTATGATACATTTTGATGATATGTCCTGGACTAAATTTTAGTATTCAAACTAATTATTCATCTTAACCTCATTCAAAAACTGAAAATATTTATGAATATAGTGGTTATTTACATTTTAATCTCATCCCTAGTTCCCATGCTTTATAAGAAAAAAAGTAATAGATGAGTAGGCTACTGATCCAAAAGCCTTATTCCAGATTCAGTCTCAAATGCATAAAACATATAATCATAATCTGTCATGCTCATCAAAGGTGAAAAACAGCAAATGTAGGAGAAAATGAGCATTTACTAATAGGAAGAATAATTAGTCTATAGACTTTCTTCAAAGTTTTCCATATATTTTCTTAACGGAAATTAGGCAGAGAAAATGAAAGAGAATGGAGAATGTTAAAAAGTCAATATATGTTTTAAGATACAACTTAAATAGTACTTTTGAACTTAAGCACAAATATCACATACACATATATGTACACATACACGCATATGATTTCTCCTCTATTTTCTGAATTGCCCATAATGTGTTTTACCTCTGTTATGATTGAGATCCATATCTGAAGTTTCCTTCCTATGGTTTTTTTAAAATTCTTACTAATATTGTTTTTCACCTGGTCAAAAATGTTCTATCTCATCCTATGTTGCACATAGTTGGTTACTAAGGTGGCTTTTTGCTTCACTACAGAAGTTCATAAATCTCACTTAAAATAAACACACATATCCCCATCTCCATTTCCAAACAAACCCAACTGATTTTTAGTTACTCTTCAAGTGTAAGAACTTTTAATAATAGCTCATCTATTTTGTCTTACCCTTTTCAGTGCTAATCAAGCAAATTACAGATGGAGAACATGACTTTTCTAACTAAAATAAGATATTTACATTATTACATCATAAGGAATGTGATTTTCTCAAAAAAGTATAATAAAATTTTGTGATTTAAGTAGCTAAATTATATTCAGCAATTAAAATGTCATTTCATTTCATATTGTTTTAGAGAGTGTTGAAACGCTATGTTGAAACATCAAGACAGGAAGAGAAATTTGGGCTGAAACTGATAAATAGCAAGGTTCTGATAAATAGCAAGATTCATTGCCACTCAGTAGAAATTGAGGTGCCATGAAAACCCAAAGTTCAAATTATTTTCTTATTTGATCTTAGTATACCTGGTTCTAAGTTGCACAAAATTCAGATCATCATGTCTGATGACTTCAGTTCTTTTCCATGCTGGCTGAGTAATGTCAGAAAAAGACGACTGAAATAAATAGAAGCATTGACTTTCTCGGGGTCTTTCTCGGGGTCAGGGCCTACAGGTGGTTACATACAGCTCTAGAGAGTGTCACTCACATTCACAGTTGCCCTGGACTTGTGTATTTCCTGCCATAGTTGTCTGTCGGATGGCTGTACGTGTCTTGAGGAAGAGAAAGTTCTCTCCTAAAATGAATAAAAGCACCATTTAGGCTGCAGCAAAGCTAGTCTCTGATTCTAGGCACGCGCTGAACAGTGGTAACACAACAAGCCAGAATGTCTATATGATTAGATTACAGCTTCAAACAAACATGTCTCTTTTGTGAAAATGTGTGGAAATTCAAATGTAATATTTCCTCAAGAAAACGAGTCACTTTAATGGGGATATCATAATATGAAATAAAATACTAAAAATGATTAGCTTTTACAGTATAAATAGAAATAGAAATCTAATGAATTTATTATTGCTTCCTCTGTGTTACAGTCAACAGTTCTACTTTATTTCAGCCAAAAAATGGCTAAGAGCTTTGAACATCTTGACATGAAATGGAACACAATTAGACAAAACACTGCAAAAATTTTTAATGAACTATATATTCAAAAGTAATATAAAAAACAAAATAAAAACCAAAGTACAACCAGAAAAATAATGTTACATTAAGATACTTAAGACGGAAGTAGTTTCCTATTAAATGTTATTAAAAAGAGTTGTGTAGCAGGCAGCGTGAATTCGAAACGATATGTTAATATAAAGCTAAGAGGGAAGATAAGTCCACGAATTAACACTTATGCTCTGATTTAGAAAAGACATAGGGAAAGAACACTTGTAATAAACTCGCCTAAATAGGAGAGCAAAAAATTAATATAGAGAGACAGTTATAGGAGCTTATATTAGGCAGAATCAAATAGGTGGGGAAGAGAGCTTGAATAACAGAAAAGGAAATGAGTGGAAAACTGTTCTGTGACCAGGAGATCTTTGGGGAGCTCACTGTAAGAGGAGAATGATGAAGACTTCAGAATAAGCTCCAGAAGTAAGCGGAAAGGAAAGAGTGGGCAGAATGGGTGAAGAGTACCCCCAAAGTGAAGAGGGAGGTATTCTGTGGGGCAGGAAGATATAATCTAGAATAAGAACACAGTCTCCAGAGCCTGATGGCTTGGATTTACACCTTAGCTCTGTTATTCAACTGGTTGTGTGACCTTGGGTAAGGTAGTAACCTCTCTAAGGACTAAATATGTATGTGTGCGTATATGATGGTTTTTGCCAAAATAATAACGTGCAGTATGTCCATCCATTTAATCATGAACATACACATATATAGTTTTTATATGTAATACATTATTATGACAAAAACCAATGAGAGACAAGATAAATGTGGCAACTAGTAATAGTGTTCAAGAAAGTTTTAATTCGAGCCTGCAAATTCCAATATGCAGAGAAAACAGGAAGGATGACAGACTCTTCTTACCAACAATTAAGAATATTATTAATTATGATTGCTTTTCATTCCTATACAGTTTAGAGAGGAAGCCATTCAGAGTTTCTGTTGACTGCACTTTGCCTTCTTGGGAGTTAGCTTTTCCACCAATTTTCTCAAAATGCCCCTGGACATTTAGTTTATTATACTGACGGTTTTGTGGTTGATAACGTTTGTTTGTCCTACCATCTGGCCTCTTTTTCCCCTTGTAGCTGCCCCTGACGCAGGAAGGGTTAATAATCACTGGAAAAGGCTTGCCAACAAACTGTGACCCAGAGGTGAGAAGGCCGGTCAGCCAATGACAGTTAAGACCTCCAGGGCGAGGCAATCTAAGCCAGGCGCGGTCGCCTGGGGGCACAGATGGAGACGCGATATCAATATCGGGAGCAGGAGGGGCCGTTGCCTAGGAGGCCTTGCCTGCTCTGAGATAAAAATATACAAGCACAGTAAAAACATGATAATATCAAAACAGAGGCCAAGGGAGGGCTCCTTGAGAAATCACTAAGAATTCCTGGCATTCGCTAATTACTTCATCCAGAACACCTGTGTATGTTTAACAGCTGTAAGCTATGTATATATTGAAATGCTGGTTATAATAAACTCAGAGTGGCCATCAGTCCTCTCCCCATCTATCCTGATGTGTACATTGGATTGCGACACCAACACCCCTTCCCAGCAGAACCTCATCTTTGATCATATGACAATGCCTCTTCATAGCTCAGGCACCTCAAGAGAAGCTTACTTTTCCTCCAGCTCTAGGGCTTGACCTGATTGGTCTAGGAATGAAGGTGAATTCCAGTGATTGGTTCAGTGATCCAGATGTGAGCATATCAGCACATGGCATGTCTCTGGTTCCAAGACTCAGGCGCAAATGGGAATAAGACCAAATTCTGGCTAATTGAAAGAGATTTGCTGAAGGCTTCTGGTAAAAAAAAAAAGCATGTTTGATATTATAAGATGGCTTCCTGGATTCTTTCTTCCTTTCTGTGATGTGGTGATAGGTGACATACTCTAGCATTTTCACTACCATGCAAGGAGCAGCCTAAGGAAAAATCCAATACTCAGAGGAAGGCACGGGACAGGAAACTGAAGAAACAAAACCAGAATTATTGAATTAAACAGACCTAAAATCTGTCTGACCACTGAACTTCCAGTCACATAAGTCAATACATTTTCTGACTGTGTAAACCAGTTTGAACTGGATTTGGAGGTACTTGTGTGTTAATTGGGCTTACATATCAAAAAAGCTTCAGTTCGTTCTCTGATCAAAGTGCCCTTGACCCAGTTTGGTTGACCTTATAAAATACTGTATTTTTGCCAGAAGGACTTCTGGTCTTAAAATCTTGAGGATCTCCTGTTCAATCACAATCCTATCATAGTGGAATTAGAGAATATACCAAAGGATTAAAGACTTAGATATCATTCTCTCAGGAAAATCTTCTACTTGTTTGCACTAACTTGTCCTTTTCTTCCAGATTAACAAATAAAACAATGGATTTATTTCTTATGCTTTCTTTCGCTAATGTAAGTTGCTTGAATTTGGTGCAAAGCCAAGAGATGTACCCAGTGATTTCTGTGAGTCCCTTCATTACTGAATGAAGGTGAGTTCCTCTCTTGGTGAGTTAAATCAGACTTCCTGCCAGAAATAGTTGTCTCACAAAGTAAGGTATATTTGCAGCACATAGGAGACCATGAGGAATCATTTCCAGAGTCATGGTGGCCCTGAACAAAGGGAGGCGGGGATATTTTATTTTGGATGGGGAATGAACAGTCAAAAGGGAGAGATGGGTATTTGCTTGCACAGGCTCAGTTGGAAAACATGCTTCCATATACACTGAGGGTTACGGTTTTTTGGCCTAGGCTCCTCCTGGAGAGGAGATCTTAGCACTGAAAATAAGGCAAAGGTCATAGGCGCAGCTCTTGTGGTGTAGCTTGGTCTGGTTCAGGGTGGTTGGTGATTGCATCTCATTAACATAACAAAAGGAAAAAAACAATTTGGAAAAATAGTTAAATGCTTCCAAACCCACCTTTGAGCTCCCCCAGGCAATTCCTTGGTGACCTTTTCATCTTTTAGGTTAACTATATGGCTAACAGAGGGCTTCTATCCAGAACTGTCATTCTTGGAAAGCAAAGGGCTGAGAGAGACAAAGCAGATGATTTTAACCTATGACAGTTTTGTCCTAAATTAAAAAATAAGGCAAATAAAAATTAAATTAAAGTGAATACATTATGAATTTTATACTGTTTTTAAACGAATAGAGATGATATACTTCTTTGTAATAAGTATTCTGAAGTTATTACCATTTGAATAATACAGAATGATATTTGAAATTCAAGAAATATACACTAGAAGAAAAATAATTCAGAATTAATGTGTAGTTTCAAGAATCAAACAATTTTTTTGGTGTGGGTTTTATCTTCAAATCACTATCCTTTCAAAATGCATTTGATTTCCAATCCTTGCAAATTAGTACTCAACTTCTTTCATTTTAGTGGGATTTTTTGTTATTGTTCATCAATACTAACTTAATTTACTCACCAGAAATAAGCTTTAGGGAAAAACATTAACAAATTTCAGGTTACTGAAAATTTACTTAGTGCTCGTGGGCTTGATATTAGGATGGCAAGCCCTGCAACTACTTATCTTTTGCATCTGTTTTATCTCTTGCTTCACAGCTGTCTGGTCACATTTTTTTTTTTTTAAAGATTTTATTTTTTTCCGTTTTCTCCCCAAAGCCCACCAGTACATAGTTGTATATTCTTAGTTGTGGATCCTTTGTAGTTGTGGCATGTGGGATGCCGCCTCAGCATAACTCAATGAGTGATGCCATGTCCGCGCCCAGGATTCAAACCAACCAAACACTGGGCCGCCTGCAGTGGAGAGCGAGAACTCAACCACTCGGCCACGGGGCCGGCCCCTGTCTGGTCACATTTTAAAAATTATTTGCCAAGAAGATTATCCATTGATGAGTGTGAGTTCAGATATTACCTTCTCTAGGAAGGCTGCATGGCTTTTCTGAAAGCCATTCAATCTTTGCCTTCTCTGGGCTCCCCTAACACTCTCTTCATACCTGTATACACAGCATTTGCCTGATTTTCTTTCATTTAACATTTTATATAGCTGTCTCTTTCACCAGCCTAGGATATCCTTAACAGCAGACTCCCAGTCTTATGGAATTTTGGACCTCGGTGCCCACCACAAAACCTGACACGTGTGCAATCAATACAAGTTTCTTGTACCCCTGGTTAAATCAAGGTGTTCTAAGGAACATGCCTAGTTACTGCCATCCTTTACCTAAAAGTTAGAGACAGTTGCCTTTCACCGCCTCTCTATATTGCAAATATTCCACACTTGTAGTGAAGAGACTGCATTCTGGAGTTAGACTGTCTGCATGCAAATTCCAGCTCTGCCATTTACTAGCTGAGCAACATTGAAGTTACTTAACGTCTCTGAGTCTCAATTTCTTCAGCTGTAAAGTTGGTATAATAATGGAAACTCCTTCTTGGGGGTGTTTGTAAAAATCCAGTGAAAAAATGTATATAAAACTCTTAGTAAAATGCCTGGCTCATAATCCACATTTTCACCTTTATGTAGATAGCAATGCTTCTGGGTTTAACATTAGTTGTTATTATCACTGTTATTATTAGCTACTTAAATATTGTGCTTTTAGTGTGATTAGATATTACATTTCAAATAATAATGGAATTCTGTTACGGGAAGAAAGGCTATAAACTTAAGGTAGCTTTGGGAAAATTATAGGTAATTTTACAGCTGAAAATGAACAGTATCAACAAGAAGCATTCATGCCAGGATTGTACTTTTACAGTTCACAGGCCACCTTGTTTCAGGAAAGCAAGTTTTATTTTTCCAGTCAGTCTTCAACCCATTATTTGAATTCACTGCTGGTTATCTTCAGAATTTTAGCATCTGGCTATCTTATTACACAAACTCTGGAATTCAAATAAACAGTTGATAATGACAAGGAAAAATGTTAATAGTATTTTGCTGTATATTCAAAATGCTGCAAACTTCCTCAGATTTCCATCCACGATGTTATCATTGTGGATAAGTTTGGAACTCTGATTATTTACTATTGCCCCAATAACTATTCTTTGCCCCCAGTTCCAGCTCCTGAAAATTTGTAAGTGTGGTGGAACTATGTGCAGGTACACATTTGCGACAGGAAATTTATTTATATCTACAGCAGTGCTTCTAGGTAAAAAGGCCCTGAATATGCGGATTCTATTAGAATTCCAAAAGATCTCATGTGACTATGTTACGCTGGTTCTTTAGTATTAGTCCTTTGAAGTCAAGTTGAAAAAATTAAATTAGTTGGAACTCATACTGTTGTGTTAAAAGCTTAATTGTGACTTTTCACTGGACTACAAGAAAATTGAGTTTATTTTGGAAACAGATCCTTAAACTCTACTCTGTTCTTTGTAAACTTCATATGTAGGAAAGAAAAAACAAATGTCAAATCAACTTGCAGATTCAAGCATACCAATTGTGAGGGGAAAGCAACCAGAAACCAGCAATAGGCTCTGCAGAGATGCGCTAAATTAGGTCCGAATTTCATGAGCTTTTGTAAGCGCTTGTATGTTACTGTGACCTTGGGAGTAATTTTTCTGAATTCTGGAGACTGCGGATAAAATGTTTAATTCATGTTTTTGTCAGTACTTCCAATCACTTTAATGGGATTACGTGTACTACCTCTAGTATTTTAATTTTACACCTAAAAATTCTTTCCCAAATTAAAAAAAAAATCAACCATTTTGTGTAATCAGCAGTGCCTAAAATAATAGGGTTTTTTTTCCAACACATGGAGGGGAGAGGGATAGCGAGAGTGGGGAAAGAAAGAAAGGACAGCAACATCCATCTGTTCAGCTAAGGAAGTGTTGGGAGCAGAGGTGAGGCAGGAGTAAGAATTCATAGACTCAGAGAATAAAGATAAGCAAACATTTTTGTCTTTGATTATGTTGCTCTCCATCTTCTAGACAACGCTGATTTTTAAAGCACTAACTAACGTATTTTTATGTGTTCAGCAGTATTATTTTTTCCCTGTTTTGCAATAAATATTATTTGCCAGTAAAATGTTAACTCTTTGTGAGTCCTTTCATTCCATGCCTTTTAGAAACGTTTTATTTTTAAAATCATCTTTATTGAGGTATAATTTACAAATGATGAGCTGCATCCATATTAACTACATAATTTGTTGAGTGTTGACAGATGTATACACCTATGAAACTACTGCTACAATCAAGATACTGAATGTTTTCATAATGCCCAAAATATTTCCCGTGGCCCCTTACAATTCATCTCTCCCTCTGATCCTGGCTCCAGGTAATCGCTGATCTCTCTTGTCTTGACAGATTAATTTGCAATTTCTAAAATTTTATATAAATAGAATTATACATATGACATTTTGTGTCTGGTTGATTTCACTCATTGTGACATTTTTAAGATTAATCCATGTTGCGTATATCAGTAGTTCATTGCTTTTTATTGCTGAGTAGTTTTCAACTGTATGAATTTACCATTTTTCTCCATCTATTCACCTGTTGATGAACATTTGCTAGCTTCTAGCTTTGGTCTATTGTGAATAATGCTGATCTGAACATTCATATACAAGTCTTGGTGTGGACATAGGTTCTCTTCTCTCTTGGGTAAATAAATACTCAGAAGTGGAATTGCTGGGTCATATGGTAATTGTATGTCTAACTGTACTAGAAACTGCCAAATAATTTTCCAAAGTGGTTGTACCATTTTAAATTCCCACCAGCAGAGTGTAAGTTTCAGTTGTTCCACATCCTTACCAACAATTGGTATTGTTAGTCTTTTTCATTTTAATTTTAACGGGTATATAGTACTATCTCATTGTGGTTTTAATCTGTGTTTTTCCCTAATGGCTAATGATGTT